AGAGCTCTCAGATCTAGTGGTGATCATAGACTAGAGACTAGACCTCTGACCTTGCAAAATTCATACCTAAAGGAGGAGCAGACAGTGAAAAAGGAGAATTGAGATCCATCTGGGCCAGTTCCTGGAGGGCTAGGGAGGCTTCCTAGAGGAAGGGATGTGGAAGCCAAGCCTAGGCCGACATCCTTGGGAAGAGTCTCTCTGTCACAAAGAGGAGTGCATTGGCTAAACAGGGCTGGAGAAAGTGGAGGGGCAGAGCTGGAGATCCACATGCTTGCTCAGCCCAAGACCAGACTGGCACATCCCTCTACTAGCCAGTCATATCCAAAGTCTTGTGCAAAACAGACATGTTATTAATCATCCCCAAGGTCTGGCCTGTGAGCCCTGTGCTGTTGATAGATGGTCATTATTGATGCTGCTGTTAGTGCCAGGGCCTAGCCTTTTCTATTAATGTGGGAAAAAAATGAGTTTCTCAAAACTGAGTTTTAAGTTTGCACAGCTACTCAAAGAGGGTAGGCCCACCTCTGGTTAGCTCCCTGAAGCTGTGGTTTACAAGCCCTTTGGAGAGAAGGGAGGGCCTGGATGGGACTCATGGAGACAGAAACTCGTGTCTCCTTCTTCAGCCATTTTGTGAGCACTTCATACTCAAGTGCAGTACCAGGCATTGGGGGACAGAAATGAGTGAGGTAAACACAGGCCCAGCTTTGATAGACAGTAGGGGGATCTAACATGTCATTTGGGGGTCTCCGTATCCTAGTTCAGTATGAGCCAGTCATTCTTGGTTTTAAGATGAGGGAAGTAGGATTCAGAAAGGAATCAACTTCTTCAAGGTTGCACAACTAGTAAGTGGAAGATTTGAACTTGGATCTCTTCATTCAGATGATATGTATTCTTTTCCCTGTTCAGAAGCTGTTAGGTTAAGTAAGAGGTCACTGTGGCCCCGGGCTGTGACAGACTCAGAGATAGGGGTAGAATACTGACTTTGCCTGGGAGTCTAGTAAAGGGAGGCCCACTGAGCCAAAAGGGTAATTTGAGTAGAGGCTCAAGGATAGGAAACTAGGCAGGTATTCAGCTGCTGGATGAGTGAGTACAGGGAGGTAGGCAGGGCTGGGTAGGGGATGTAGAGATGAGCCTAGGAAAGGAGATTGGGGCTCTGATTTTAGAGTTTGCTTCTGGTCACATTGAGAGGAATGGATCAGCGTCTGAAGGAGGGATGGAAATGCCCTGCTTAGATTCGTATGGTGAAATGGCATCTGTACAATGACATTTGTGAACTTCACCCTGAAGACGTTTTCAGGAGTTTGGGTTTCCTAATGGAATAGCAAATAGACTGGAAGTTGCGTGGCTCAGCAGAGCCTTTGGTTAGTGCTGTCTCCCTTGGGTAGTGGAGCACGGGTACATGGTAGCCTGGGCTCACCTGGGTGCCAGTATTTTCACCAGATGCCCAGCTGTGCACCTAAATGTGGTTATTCTGCTCCTAGCTCTGCTCCCTCACCAGCAACCACTGCAAACCCTCCTGCCACTGAAGCTAGCAGGAAATCCAGAGCTTGGGAACTTGTGACAAGGCCAGTGACCCTAAGTCAGTAGAGTAGGGTTCTTTTAGATTATAAGTAGAACCAAACTATTATTTTTAGTTTATTACTCTAAAAGAATCTGTGTATGTCTTTATATATCTAGGTACATGTGGAAAACGGAGGTCCATGTCAGGTGTTTTTCTTAATTGCGCTTCATCTTTTTTCTTTTTTTCAAGTTTTATATGTATCCGTGCATGTATGTAAATGTACCACGTGCATACAGTGCCCATGGAGACCAGAAAGGGGCAGTGGATCCTCTGGATCTGGAGTTATGGATGGTTGTTAGCAGCCATGTGGGTGCTGGGAACTGAATCTGGGTCCTTTGAAAGAACAGCCAGTGCTTTTAACCACTGAACCATCTTTCCAGCCCCTCCATCTTTTTTCTTTTCTTTCTTTTTTTGAGGCAGGGTCTCACTCTGTAGCCCTGGCTGGCCTGGAACTCACTATGTAGACCAGGCTGGCTGTGAACTCACAGATACCCTCCTGCTCCTGCCTCTGTCTCTAAAGGTGTGTGCCACCATGCCAGGCTCTACCTTATTTCTTTGAGACAGGGTTTCTCTGAACCTGGACCTTACCAGTTAGGCTAGACTGGCTGGCCAGTGAGCTCCAGGGATCTGCCTGTCTTCTTATCCCCAGTACTGGGATTATAGATGCCCATGGCTATACCCACCTTCTTACACGGGTGCTGGGTGGGGATCTGTACTCTCGTCCTCGTGTTTACACAGTAATCACTTTGCCAACTAAACTGTCTCTATAGCCCTACTTATTAATATTTGCTTTTTAGTCAGGGTCTTGCTGTGTACCCCAAGCTGACTTCGAATTCTGCTTTCTCCTGCTTCATCCTCCTAAATGCTGGGATCTATAATCATACAATACCACTCTGGCTCCCTAGCTACTTTTTGAGGGAAATTTCGGAACATCTGGTGTGGCAGTCAGCACTGTTGTCATGGTGGATCTCATTTCACACTTGTATCCCTCTAACTACATGGGTTCTTCATTTGGGGTTCGTGGATAGAATTTCAGTGTTTCTGAACTTGGGTGAAAAAACTCATACTTAGTTTTCATTAACCTTGCCTGATGTTGAGTGCTATTCAGTTCAGCTGTAGTTAACTAACAGGGCATTGTGATTCGATCGCTAATGGCAATCTAGCTATTGCCTTTTTCTTTTGAAGGCAGCGAGGTTGGGGGAGAGGGGTGGGGGAAGACAAGGTCTCACATGTAGTCCAGGCTGACCTCAGTCTTGCTATATAGCTGGAGATGTCCTTGAACTCCCAGTCCTCCTGTGAATTCTAAGTGCTGAACCTCAGCTACTTTAGTGCCAGATCACATCTGAAATGGCCATGTACACCCACCACAACTTCAAAGTCATGACTGTTAGATCACTGCTAGATATTATTTCATACTCCAATAAAGAAACTTTTATTATCCCATCACGATTTTAAGTAATTTTTTAGATTTATTCATTATTGTTTGTTTTGTTGAGACAGAGACTCATCACTATGTAGCCCTGGAACTTACTATATATACCAGGCTGGCTTTGAACTCACAGAGACCTGCTTGCCTCTGCCTCCTAAGTGATGGGATTAAAGGTTAAATGTCCAGCTAAAGATTTATTTTTCTTTTAAATTATGTGTACTTGTGTGTGTGTGTGTGTGTGTGTGTGTGTGTGTGTGTGGGTGTGTGTGTTGGGGGGGCAGTATGTGCATGTGAGTGCAGGTGCCCACAGAGACCAGAAGAGGGTGTCAGATCCCTTGGAGCTGGAGTTACAGGTAGTTGTGAAGCTGCCTGATGTGAGTTCTGGGAACTGAACTGGGGTCCTCTGGAAGAGCAGTATGCTCTCTAACCACTGAACCATCTCTTCCACCTTAAGTAATATTTTGATAAGGGTATTTAAATGTAATTGATTCCCTTTGTAATCCAAAACTTTGTTCTTAGAGCTCCTGGTTCTCCCAAGACCATCAAAGGGGTCCCTAACCCCCAAATAGTTGGAAATATCTGTCCTAATTGTAAATTGGAAGCCTTTCTGGGTATTTGAAATTTAAAGCTATGTATTAGTCTTTAAATATATTTATTGTGTGTGTGCATCTTCACAGCAGACTCGTGAAGGTCAGAGAACAACTTTTGACAGTTGGTTTTCTACCTTGTGGGTTCTAGGGACCAAGCTCAGGTTGTCAGGTTTGGTGGCCAGTACCTTTACCTGCTAATCCATTTCACTAGCCCATATTTATTAGTGTTTTAGGATGTATGTTAACAAGAGTCCTTGGCCTTTCTAGAAATATACTGAGATCTTTACAGATGAAAGAGAAAGGAATGAATGAACCAGACAGCAAAACCCTTGGGGTCTAGCTGGACCTGAGTGTTTCTAAGTGACAGGGCCCCAGACTTTTAGGTGAGCTTGCCTTTTGGGGACACCAGAAGTCACCAGTAGAGAGACTAGTCTGGTCACCATCTTAGAAACTCTCATGATTACTGGGTGCTGGGGGCTCAGCCAAGCCAATGGCTGGGCTCACTGGTTCTCTCTGGGTGGAAGCACACACCCCTCTGTCGGAGCCTCTGGGTAGCCCCAGTTGGAATAAGCTCCCTTCTTTTCAGGCAGGTCAGTGCTGTGCCGTTGTCTTGCCTGTACCCACAGTGCTGGTCAGAACCCCATGCTGACCTAGGTCAGCCTGTCCATGTTTCCACTTATCTTACTTGAGTCTTTTGAAAGCTTTGGACATTCTTCTCTTGAGGAATATAGACTCATGTATCTGGAATTTGCTGACTTCTCGGGGTGTACATCTCTGATAGCCTGTGTAGAGACTGCAGTCAAGGGCAGTTACCAGCAGTGTCCCCACCCAGTAGTCACAGCCACCATGCCGGGTACTCTCTGTGTAATGACAAGCTGAGTGCTTGTCTCTTAAATTCCTCAGGAAGGAGCGTTTATTATTATCATCCTTTATGGGAGAGGAAACTGAGGCTATCTGGGGGGAGGAGGGTGTTAAGTGACTTGTCACAGAGCCAGGGTATGACTGAGGCCTCTGTTCCAATCCAGGCTGTCTGTTTCTTGGGTGGAAAGTTGCCCATCCTTCCAAGCCCCCATCATTTTTGTTATCAGTTACCCACATGCTCACCCCAGGCAGGAAGGCCGACTTCTGGTTAACTGGCCTTAACCAGTTATGCTTTTACTCTTGAGGAGCTGGTCCTGGGGGGCAGGACGGTCTGCCAGCCTCAGTGAGGTTGGGGACTCCTTGCCTGTGATCAGACTCTTCTCCCAACTTCTCTCCCGGTTTGTGCCTTTCTGCCCCATGAATGACAGCCAGCCACCCCCTCCCCCCATTCTTCTCCTCAGCACATTGCTAGCATCTGCTTGAGCTCCCCTGGAGTGCACATGGCTGCCACATACTTGTACTACCCATGAATGTGACCTTTTCTTTACTGGACTTCCTACAGGCGAAGCTGGTGCGGTACATCTGTAAACAGCGGCAGTGCAAGCTGAGTGTGGCTCCCAGCGACAGGACTGCCGAGCTCAACAGCTACCCACGCTTCTGTGACTGGCTATATACCTTCAGTGTGAGGCCCGAGGTGGTGCAGGTATATGGCGGGACGCAGGCTAGGGGACGGGCAAGAGGGGGCAAGCAGTGGCCACACCCAAACTTGAGGGTGAGGCTCACCGTGGCTAAGACAAAGGAGCTGTATGCTCTAGTCTTGGGAGGGGGTATGAGGGTGACATGGGGGTGGCAGCCAGCAGGGACCTAGAGTACCTGTGACTACAGTAAGTGCCCTACGTGCCATTACCCCATAAACTGGGATAACCTGGCCATACTGGTCACTTATTTGCTCATCATAATGACAGCTGCCTCCTTTTTTTGGAATCTGGCTATGTGGAAAACACTGTTTAAACTCTTTGAAATTATAATCTCATTTTGCACAGTCTTCTATAAGGAAGGTATTATCATTCTACCATTTTAGGTTTGACACACAGCTGGAAACTAAGGGACTTAGAAACTGAGTTCTTTCTTCTGACTGCTGAGGGGTATTGATTTTCTTCTTGGATTCATCATCCCATTCATTCATCCTGCCCACCCACGATTTCCCACTTAACCAACCAGTGTACTTGGAGAGTTGGTATTAGGTAACAGTGAAGTGAAATATGCTAGTGTGTGGAAGATGTGGTTCACTGAGGCAAGTCTTGTAAAATCTACATCGTATTCTAACAAGAATAAGACTGACCTTTGCTAGAGTATAAAAAGTAGTGTGGGAGCCAGGTGTGGTGGTGCATACCTTTAATCTGGTCTACATAGTGAGTTTCTGGCCAGCTGGGGCTACAGGGAGAGCCTGTCTCAAAAATAAAATAAACACCATCCATTCATTTTGTATAGGAAAACAGAAAGAGATGGGAGGAATCCCGTGCATATTCCCAACACTCAGAAAGAAAGACTTTGAGCATTGAGATTTTGAATTTCCTTCTGTTTTTTCCCCTCCGTAATAGAAAAGTCTTTATAGAACTTCCAGTGGGTTAGGGCTTACACCAGCCAGGTAGGGGGTCACTGGTCCCAGTGGCTGATGAGCACTTAGGTTGTGGCTGTGCTTTTACAGATGAGGAGAGCTATGTTCTGAAACCTTGGTCACCAAAGAAAATAAGAAAGTACCTTATGTGTGACTTTTTATATCTGACACCTGTTGAAGGGATAGTCTTTTGGATAAGTCTTTTGGCTGTGTAAGATATTGCTGAAGTTAATTTCCTCTGGCAGTCATCCTCCTGCCTTTGCCCCTTGGGTGCTGGGATTCTAGGTGTGCAGCATCATGCTCAGCAGATTGATCTTTCACTTTTTCAAATATGGGCTTTTGAAATTAGAATCTGTCTGTGGTTCACCTCATATTTCTACTGGATGGCGCCGGTTAAACCATCTTGAATAATCTTGTTTTGCTTTCATCTTTTGACAGGTTAAACCATCATGTGTTTCTTGTGATTTCACACTTTTGTGTTATATATCTTTGTATATATATTTTTTTCTTTTTTTTTGAGACAGTGTCTCATTATGTAGCCCTGGCTGGCCTGGAACTCATTATGTAGACCAAGCTGGCCTCAATCTCACAGAGATCTGCCTACCCCTGCCTCCTGAGTGCTGGGATTAAAGGTATATGCCACCACACCCACCCATATTTATCATTTCTTTATTAATGTTTTACTGAGTGGCTATAATAGAGTTACCAGGCAAAAGTATGACAGTGACCAGTATAATTAATGAAGCCTTTTGTAAATACTTAAACATTTAGTAATTTTCCATAGGAAAGATTCCTGGGTAGAAAATGACCCCAACATAAAATGTGCCTGTCATGTCATGGGGCTGAGAGTGAGGGGATCCCACAGGGGAGCTTAGCACTGAGGTACTACTGTTCTAGGCCCCATGTATAGCGTGGGCCAGTTTGTAGGCTGAAAGAGTGGGCTGGTGTGAAGACTGAAGGAAACTGCTCTGTGAGACAGGTTCCTTGAATATTGACAGTTGCACACCCACACATACGTGGGCACTCATAGCCACATACACTGTACATAATGAGCTGCCACCTCTGTCCGTTTCCTCCCCTACCTTCCTGCCCACAGTTTTATGCCATACGGGAAAGAGGTTGGACATGTAATATAGTCACAGATCTAAGAGCATCGATTTAGCGACTCTGCCCCCAGCTGAGTCCCCCGGTACCTCCTCCTTTTCCAAGATCTCAGGGACAGAAAGCAGCTCTCCCTGCACTTGTGCCTGGATCTCTAGCTGAGAGCACAGCAGTTCAGGGACCGTCATAGAGTTAATGTCAGGGATAGACCTGAGGTTCAGGCCCAGTATGCTAGACTTCAGACTGTGCCTTTCCCCCTTCTTTGTTCTCTTAAGATGTGTTAGGCAGATGGCCTTACTTCCTGAGGGATTTTTCTGCAAATAACCTATAGAGTTTGAGAGATTCCATCCTTTAGAGGGCCCTGATATGCCCAGGTATTGTGTATAGTCTTACTGAAGCAGCTTGCTGTGGCCCCTGGAGAGCTGTGTGAAGACAGGTCAGAGACCCAGCCAGGCCTAGATGCAACAGGTGAGTCACGCATTGGCTAAATCATAAAGCCCTGAGTGATTCAGCAAAGCTGAGTGCTTAGTAAGAATTGAGCCTCTTTGGATAGGCAACAGAGCCCAAAGGCCAGGCGGTCACTGGGAGCCAGGATGTTCCTTGGGATGGAGGAATGGGGGAATGGAGGGTCAGATTGAGAGAGCAGGTCACACTGCCTATAACCTCTCACTTGGAATTCATGTGACAGCCGAGAAGCTAAGTGCTCAGAGATTGTGTCCCACAATTGCATATGTGCATGCTTCCTTACACAGATATACCTCATCTTCCATGAAAGTATATATGCTGTCTTCTGTCCTACCTTCCCACCTTCGTGCTTGGTTAGGTGGTACTTTGGATCCCCCCCTTCATCCCCCTCTGTGTGCTTCTAAGGAGTTATATATCACTGTGTACATCAGATCTGTCAGAACGACCAGCGACACTGTGGGGTGCTTTGATCCCAGCCCATCCTGGCCCTTCACTCTGTGGGATGCCCAGGCCTTCATGGGATGGCATATTCCTTGCATTGCTAGACTTTCATGGATGCTAGAGGTTAAGTGACATTATCTCCCTGGCCTGTCTGACCTAGCGCCTTACCCTGTCCTGCTAAAGAAGCTAGCAAGCCTGCAAACAGGCTTGCAGGACAACTTGACTCCCACTGATGGAGAGGAGTGCTGAGACACCAGCCTGCCAGAGGGAGCTAGAACCTATTAGCCTCTCCAGAAAGTCAGCTGGAAGTCTCTACTTGGCAACACAAATCCTTCTAGAGCTGACCCTTCTCTGCCTGGCCTTGAGTTTGGCCTGGAGAGTCTCCTTTTAGGAGTACAGACTGCAGAGCTCAGCTCCCTGAAGAGATTGCCCCATGCATGTGAGCATGAGCTTTAGACCAGGATCACTAGGCCAGGAAGCTACACCATCTGCTCCTCTTTGCAGACAGGAGTCCTTGGTCACCTAGCTGCACTAGAATGTGGTCTCTGAAGGCCTGTGGCTGCTGCTGCCTGAGCTCCTTTTCAGTGGGGATGGGAAAGCCCTGAGTACTGTGACCACAGACATACAGGTACAAGAGCAAGCAGAACCTGGCGCTGTGGCTGTATGTATTAGTCAGAGTTCTCTAGAGTAACAGATGGGATCTGGAGGTTCAACAAAGGCTGCCCTGGGCAGGCTGAGAATCCTGTAGTTGCTCAGTCCACAGACTGTATGTCTCAGCAATCCCAGTCTGGTGCTGAAGGCCTGAAGGATTCCTGGAGAGCTGCTAGTCTACAGTGAACAAGATTGTAGGCAAACAGACCCAAACCAAAAGTTTCTCTCGTCCATGTCCTTTTATCTGTGCTGCCACCAAAAGGTGCCATCCACATTTGGGGGCGGGGGGGGGGTGTCTTCCAGCTTCAGCTAATCTGATCAAGAAAATCCCTAGCAGGAGTACCCAGTAGCTTGTGTTTTAATTTATTCCAGATCCAGTCAAGTTGACAATCAAAACTAGCCCAGTGTCCCAAAAGCCCCTCCATCTTCACCAGTGACCCTGGGCAAGTCACTTTGTCCCTCTGGGACTCTGTTTACCTACATAAGAAGTGGTTTAGGTAGTTTGCTCCATCAGCCCCTTCCTCGAGTAAGATGAGTGGTGGAGTTGTGTCGGGGGGTGGGGGCAGTTTATTGGGTGGCTGGGGGGTTGTTGCATAGAAACACACCTTCCTCTTCTACCGAAGGGGCTGGGAGGTGCTAGGCTATGCTGTGCCTTCAGCGGTGTCTCTTCTCCCAGGACTGGAGTCCCGCTGTCCTTCAGAAACAATTTCACACTTTCTCTTTGGGCTTCAATGGAACCTGTACTTCAGGCAGTCAGAGCTTGTGACCCCTCCCCACCCCATCAGCATGGTGTTTTCACCTCTTAGACCCCCGAGTCAGGCTTTTCTCTCAGATTTTTCAGGAGACCTTCCTTGTGCACACACCCTTTTGTTTGGTTTGCTGCTTTTGTCTTCACGTTGTTACTTAGCCCAGGCAAGAAACGATCAGGAAACAGATACCCGAATACTGAGAATTGGGGCCTTTAAACTGTTCCCCATACCAGACAAAGGAAGGGGTTGTTCTGCAATGAGCAAGCGGAGGCCTCCCTGTTCCTCCTCTCAGAGGTTAACAGCCTCATTCCCACTTGGCAGGGACCCTCGCCAGACCCCTTCATGCATGCTGCCGTCATTCAAATTGACAGTTCATGTTTGTTCCCTTTCTGTCTTTTGTTTGCTATAATGGGATCATGCGATGTGTACTCTGCGTGATGTTACTCTTATTCTCGCTTTTCTGTTAGTCAAAAAAAAATCCACTTTATTCTTTCATAACAGAATACTGAGAGAATTCTCCAAGATGTCTGATGTGGGCTGGGGATGCAGCTCTATGATGATAGAGTGCTGCTCTCTGGAAAGTGACCACCAACACTACTTAACTTGCAGATGAGGCTGAGGTTAGCCAACCCTGCAGATGCAGGAGCAGTAATGTGAGCAAGGAGAGAGACCCCCATA